TTTAAAAAAAACAACAAGTCTTATGCAGCCAGCTGCCATAGAAGTGTCCAAGTGCATCGCCAAAGTTTCTGCTTCTGTTTTAGGTTTCAAATGCCAACCAGCCTTTGAGTGTTTATGACTGCTGCGCACAGCTGCCGAGACCTGGAGGGAGGGCTCCTGCAGGGATGTGAGATGGCTGGGAGAGCCAGAGGTGTCCGGAACGGCCAGAGACTTCAACTAAATGGGTAACAAGAGACACTGAGAAACAGTTTTAAATGCCCAGTTCAAACACAGACAAGAGTGAAAAGAGCCATTTTTATGTAATAACAACCATCCCTGCCCAGAGCCATTTTTATCTAATAACAACCATCCTTGCCCCAGCTCGCTGGGGAAGCTTTGTCCCACGACTTCTCTATAACTTTGGCAAAACGACACCCACGTCATAATTTTAACAAGAACGATGGGCCCCACTTGAGAACCGTTCCAATAGTTAGAAGTGCAGAGACCAGGGCTTCAGAACACCTGCCTTGACTTCTTCATTTAGACGCCAAGCCTCACCTGCCCCTTCCACGAGTGCAAACTCATCTCAGAAGGAGGGGGCAATGAACCTGCGTTGAAAGGACTGACTCCCAGTTTCAAAGCTGACTCCAAGCTCTTTAGCTTCCCCTTCCAGCAGGCAAGTCCATGGTATGTTGGCACGTGTTCCTATAACCAGGCTCGCCCATGGAATATTTATTTCGTTCTCATAACTAGATGTACTAGATAATGAAAGACTGTAACTAAAACATCAGCCTTAATTCGTACACTTCCGGCGAAAAAGCAGAACTAGGTTTGTCTTTCAAAACCTAGTCTAACAGCCTCTGTTAATAGCTTCATTTCTTCGTAAGAAGGGACTCCCTTTGGGGCTTACCCCACCTACTCTGAGAGGGGCCAGGTTTGCCCACAGGGGCGTCTCACCTGTGCACCTGCAGGTCCGGTTGAAGAACTTCCTGGGCCACTGCTCGCGGTCATCCTGGTTCCACAGGACGTAGCGGCCACTCCAGGGCCTGGTGTCTGCTTGAACCTCTGTGCACTGGCCCCGGCCCTCCTGTGAACCACAGGTGTTGGCCAGCTCCGTGCCCAGGGGCGGGCAGCACTCCTTGGACGCCAGGCTGCCCACCGTCATGCAGACCCGGGGGAACTGAGCCCAGGTTGCCGGCAGGATTCCACAGCCCAGGCAACCGAACAGAAGCCCCCACCAAAGGGGGCTCATGGCTTTACACCTGGGAGAATCCTCTCTCATTCCACTTCTTTCTCTGCCTGCCGCTCTTTGTTTCTAGCCTGCCTTTCTCCTTGGCCTGGAATCTGGAGCGTTCACTCTGTTCTTTCTCTTTTTTTTTTTTTAATATTTTTGTTTTGTTTCGCACTCTAGCCCTCTCCTCTTACAAAAATACCCACAACATCACAGAACCCACACGTGTACACGTGTGCATGCACATGTACACACTATTTTATGGGATTCAATGAAATGACTCAAACAAATGTAATTTCATTAGAAGCGCCTCTAGCAGCCGAATTTAATGATCTTTTTCCTGGCCGTTAAATCAGGCTTTGTCTAATTGAGTTAATTTACAGAACGCTCCAGTCATACTACTTATTATGCTGGTATTTTTCTGAACGCTCTCCTTTTCTCCTTGACTGTAATTGCCTTGAACTCAGTTCAAAAGCCAAACACCACACCGCCTTTATTCTGTTTGGCTTGCCAAGCCACGGGGCCTCGTGGGGTTTGTGTAACGGCTGGGAGAAGCCGTCATTAGAGGGATTAGTATTAGAGAAATCCTCATTGTTAGCACATGACCCAAAGTGCACAATGAAGTAGATAAAATTTCTGGCTTTGTTTCAAGAGGGCAAAACCATCTTTATCTGGGCTCATGTGCTCCCGCCAAGCTTGTGACCTCAGACTTCCCAGGGAGTCAATAGATGCAGTTAGCTCTTCATGAAAGGCCCTTTACAGACAAGCATGCATTGCTAACTACAATTCACTCATGACTGTTCGCTGACGTGCTAGTAAGACCACTGCAGGAGGTCACACAGCCTCACAAATAAAGAAACATTTATTTAGGTCTGACGTACAAGGAATTGCATTGTTCCGCAATTAGGGATCCTCTTCCCTCCAAATAATAACCTACTATTCTGGCTCATCTACCCAGCAGATTCTTTTAATTACACAAAGTAGCATGCCACCAGAAATTCAAAACTGTCATTCTCTAATTGTAATGAAGGCAGCCGGACAGTTTGGAGTGAGGGCTTACAAGCTCGTCATTTGATTCTTACTAGAAGTTAAGCGTTGTCGATCTTCCGTCTAGCTGGCAGTACCTCCCCAGTGCTTGGGGTGGGGGCGGGGGAGCATGCAGATCAGCCACTGGGGCCACATTTCAGAGCATTTCCTGAGTCTTTTTCATGGCAGGAACAGGACCCTCTCAGTACCACAAGTGCCTGTAGAGACAGCTGATGTGAACTGCTTCAGCCAATTTCTAAGAAAGCTTTTTACTTGGGCATAAAGAAGAAAATGTTATGTTACAAAGCAGATTCCTAATGTTAAAAACAAAAATTTTATACAGCTGTTCCTGCTGTTAAGTGTTACCCCCATAATATTAAGCTGTGACTAATTAAACGGCACTTCACAGCTCTGGCTGAGAAGTGCCCCAGACCAATTCAGTCAGAATCTCTGAGAGAGTGTGGCCCCAGGCATCAGTATTTGGTTAAAACTGCTAATGTGCAGGTAGAGTTGAGAAACATGGGGTCAGAATAAAGCACAACTCCAAAAGAAATTTGAACTCAAGTCAGCTAAAAGATGCCATTGATGGTAAGACACTTAAATACCATGTTTTATGCATATAACGCATGTTATTTTCATAAGCGCACTATGCTAACTTTTTTTTACATGTTGCTGACTTCAATTTCTTTTTTGTTTTTTCCTGGCCAGTGGAATTAATGTAACCTGCATAAAACTATATAGGGTCTCTATGAGTTGGAATTG